CTTGTGCGCTGTTGGCAGGAACACAAAATGGCGAAGCAGCTGTGGAAAACAGTATCCTCAAAACATTAAAAATAGAACTACCGTGTGATCCAGCAACCCCACTTCTGAGTATTTATCCAAAAGAATTGAAATCAGGAACTTGAAGGGATATTAGCACTCTTATGTTCATTGCAGCATTATTCACAATAGCCAAGATGCGGAAAAAACCTAAATGTCCATCAGATGAATGGATAAAGAAAATGCGGTCTAGACACCCAGTGGTGTACTATTCAGCCTTAAAAAGGAAAGAAATTCTGTAACACGTGACCACACAGATGAACCCGGAGGACATTATGCTCAGTGAAATAAGCCGGTCACAGAAAGACACACACTGCATGATTCCACTTATAGGAGGTATCGAAAAGAGTCAAGTCCATAGAATCAAAGAATGGAATGGTGGTTGCCAGGGCCTGGGGGAGAAGGGAGTGGGGAGTTACTAATCTACGGGCATAAAGTTTCAGTTAAACGGGGAAGAAGTTTCTGGGGATCTGCTGTACCACACTGTACCTATGATCAACTACACTGTACTATACAGTTAAAATTTTGTTGAGGGTAGATCTCATGTTAAGTGACTCATGTCTTTCTACCACAATAAAATTAAAAAAAAAAAAAGAGAGAAACCCTGATGCAAACGTGGGTCAACCCTCAATTCGAATCTGGTCTGTCTGGGATGGGGCCCGGGCAGACAGGATGAACAGGGACAGCTTGACATGTTTGTGGTTATGCTCTGCTCTTAGTGGTAATTGATCCTGTGCATTGCGTGTCTCTAGAGATGTTTCCTGTATTGTTATTCCCCCTTGAGAATGAAGGAAACTGAGAGGTTAAGTCACTTTTACTGGAACTCCCAGCTGGTAGTCACTAGCGCCCCTGTTCGTTCTCAGGTCAGCCTGACTGCAAAGTCCATGCTCTAACTGCTGTGCCACACGGCCTCCAAGCAGGGGCCCTTGTGGGGTATAGACACGGGTGTCACATGCCCTTCTATTTCACTGCTCTGTCCCACAAGCTTTAGGGTCAACAGCATCCCATTTGTCCCAGGCTTGTCCACACTGAACTGTCATCATCCAGATGGAGAAAAGGGGCGGTTCGTAGCTCAGCATCAAGGGAGAAGAACAAAGGAGTTTGACCGTGAGGTCAGATGCCTGGGGCGGCGGCGGCCACCCGCCAGCAGCATCATCCCTGGGTACCCACCGGAAGGGCCTGTTGGGAGGAGAGGAGTGAGCCATCCTTCAAAGTATTGTGCGTGTGAGCGAAGGTGGGCAAGGGGGGTTGAGCTTAGATCCTCCTAATATGTCCCCAGGCCCTGACATTGAGGGGCTCAGGGGGGCTAGCAAAGCTGGGTGGGTGAAGATGGTTCTAGAAGATGAGCTCACAGAACTGGGGAGTTCCAGAAGGCCCCACGTCAGTTTAGAGCCTGCCCTTTCCCATCATTCTCTTCAAGCTGGGTGCCTGGGGCCCCAGCTGTATCATGGGGGGTGTCCTGGGCTGAAGCAGGGTGTTGGGCCGCTGCTGTTACTGCCACTGTCACTGCTGTGTCAGCTCTCGTGTGGACGACACCTGATCAGTGAGCCCCCTTCCCGCTCTTCCTGCAGCTGTTTACTGATTAGAAAGGGACATGGAGAAAGAAAGGCAGTGGTCAGAGATTGTGGGGCGGGGCGGCGGATCCTGGGCTGGTGAAGCAGCAGGTGGGGAGTTGAGAGCGAGAGATTGGAGACCACGCTGGCAGCCTCTGGTCTCTGGATCAGCAGACCTGACTCCTGCTACCTCTAGATCTGCTGGGAAATGCTCAGGATGAAATGACCTTTAAACAACTCTGCTACCGAAAAAGCAAACACAAGTCTCTGTAGAGCAGCCGGCTTGGTTTCTTCATCTAGAAGTTGGAGATAGTAATCCTTCCCCCCTTGAATTGTTGAGAGGATTAGATGAGATGAAGTCAGAAAACATCCAGAAAAAGCCCAGCACAGTGTCCGCCAGATTTTAAGAACTCAGAAGGGTGTCTTCCTCCCTCTCATCCCCCCACATTTTGACGAGAAGGGCTCATGCTCTTGTGGACACGACTTCAATATACTTCAGTCTTGAGAAGCACCCATTGATCAGCCGCTCCATGCCGGCAGCTCTGCTTGACTCTCAGGATTGACTCTCTTGACTCTCAAAGAACCATTGTTCTTTGGAAGTTCACCTAACGTCTTTTACAGTCTACTGTGCAGGAGGGCAGAAGCACAGGGCGCTTTGGGAGTATTGGCGGGGCGGGGGCCCACTGGGGGAGTCCCGCTGGGGAACTCACCTCTAATGTGACCCTTGAAGTATAGGTAAGAGTGAAGCATGTAAAGGAAACGAGAGGGTTCCTGTTCAGACGGCAAGATCATCGTGAGCGAATGACGTGGCGTTACTGGAACTTAATGTGTCGCCGGGGAGAGGTCAGCAAGGCTGGGTCACGAGGACCACGCTTAGGAGGAGTGAGGAAGGAAGTCATCAAAGGACGTCACACGCCAGCCTTTTTGTTTAAAACCTTCGTGCTGGTGAATGTGGGGAGAATAGCTGGGGAGAAGGTCAGGACTGGATGCCAGGAGACCATTAGCACGGCAGGAGGGTGGTCCGAACTGAGGAAAAGATGCTGCCCTTGGAGGGAAGGTGGACTCAACAGCACATTGGGATTGATGGCTTGGGGATGAGTGAAAGATGTTGTGATGGAGAGGAGTGAAGAATGACATTTATATCTGGATAAAAATGTTTATCCAATTTGGATAAATAGGTTTAAACAATAGAACATGATGAGTTTAAAACCAAGAATGTTTGAAACCAAGAAAGGGAAGACATACAAAAGAGCACTAAAATAGTGGGAAGGTTCGTTCTGTTTTGGACGTGCTCCGTTTGAGTTCACTCCGTCTTATCCAAGCGGAGGTTCCCAGGAGGCAGTTACCTATGAGGTCTGCTGCTCCGGGGAAGATGTCATATAAGCCATCACCCTGCAGTGGGCAGGAGGCACAGACATGCTTGGGCATCTTGCAGGCTGCCCGGAGGGTTTCCTGAAGTGGGAGAGAGGAGGGCTCAAGGGAGAAATGCCTGGGAAGCGTATCGGCATTTAAGGCCTGGGCGGAAGTGGATTCCACGAAAGGGAATCCGAGGAACCTGCGAGAGGGGAGCGTCATGGAAGCGGAGAGAGGCAAGAGTTTCAACCGGGTGGAGTGACAGCAGTGTGCAAGGCTGCTGAGGGCTCCCGCGAGACAGGAGCTGACGAGGGTCCATTGGACTGCGTAGAACAGCGTCAGGCGAGTGGTCGTGGTGGTGACGCTAAATTTCACTGGGTTGAGAAACAAATGGGAGGTGAGAAGATCATAGATTTTCCCCTAGAAGTTGAAATGAGAAAGAGAGGGAGAGGGACAGGTCAGTATAGATAAAGAGTCCGGGGAAGGTTATTTTAGAAGCTGGAGACCTAAGAATGTCTGTACCTGCAGAGGAAGGAGGGGTTGGTGGAGAGGAGGGGCTGGTGACGCTGAGAGAGGAGAAGTGGCTGGTAGAACACGGTGGAGAGATGCGAAAGGATGAAACACAGAGCTTGGAGGAAAGATGGGCCCCCGTCAGGGTAGAGGCGCCTCCTCTGTGAGGGTAGGGATGGGGTAAGAGCAGAAAGAGGAAGGAAGTCTCACCTGTGCGCACCTTGTTTTTCTCAGTGAGGCAGGAGGTGAGGTGGGACAGGGCAGGGAGGGGACTCAAGGACAGTAATGAGGGTCATGAATACCCCCTGAGGGAAATGGGAGAGAGAAACCTGACCAAGACGAGCATCACTGCCGTTGCCAGCATCGCTTCCTAAGAGAAATAGTGACCAGCCGAGTTCTAGTGCAAAGAGCCCCGTTCTCTCCGTGCCTTTCTTTTCTCATTCATTCTTTCAACAATCCGATAAGGCAGGTGTTATTAATTGCCTCACGTTATAGAGGAAGAAGATGGTGCTGGGAAAGTGTCCACATCAGAGACGTTCTGCGTAGGGGCGGGCTTCCCGCTGAGACGAGGCTTCCTGCAAAGCCCACCCTTGTCTTGTCATCCTTGGGCTCGGGGCCACCCAACTGTAGGGACAGCCACTCCCGAGGTTGTGTTTCGTTTTTGGAATCTATGAAGGTTGGGGGGCCGAGGTCGTGAGAGACATGGAGAGGTAGGTCACAGGTGGCTGGGGAGAGACAGAAGTGGAATAGAGACACTTCTCTATTCTGAGACAGAGTGGAGGCCGAGGTCATACCCAGGCGCAAATGTCCTTCATGATGTTGGGGACAGGCCTGCAGAGCCAGTGATGAGAGGTGTGGAGGGCACACCGAACCGGGCGAGGTGAGCCTCGAGGGAGGCCGGGCTTTAACAAGGTGATGGTTTAGATGGGGTGGCGGACGTGGAGGAGAGTTTCAGCATCGCCCTGGGTGGCCTGTGTGTGGGAGAGAGAGCATCCTCTGCCTGAGAGGCTGCAGGGTGGCAGTGTCCTAGGGGGAGACCTGGCTTCAGCGCAGGCCAGGACGGGGAGGCTCAGTGCTTGAAGAGAGCTTCGTGGCATCTGGGCTGAGGGATTGACTTACACAGATGCCACTGCTCGGCTGTCCCCTCCGGGAGCATCTGCTTGTGGCCAAACCCCGGTGGGACTTTGGAGTCACATAAACTTTGGCCTCAGTCCAAACCTGGTCCCTTCTGAGTTGTGAAGTCCTGGGATTCAGGGTTCCGTGATGCCTGGCAAGTAGTATGGAGCTCAGAATATGTTTGTCCTCTCCCCGCTTCCCCTCCTCTCTCTCAGCTGCCGGAACAGGGGGTTACAAAGCAGGATTGGAGGGGAAAGAGGCTGGCCTCGGGGAACCCTCTTCTGGCTCTTGGTGGTACGGCTGAGGCCCCATCAGGGCTGCAGGGGAGCAGGTTGGCACTTCCCAGGTACACTCAGGCCCTGTTTCCCTTCTTCTTCCAGGGGTACCCTTCTGTGAGCTGCCTGTCAAAGCCCAGCTTGTAGCCAGGGCGGCGGGGTCTCCAGCCCTGCCGCCCGCATGGAAGGTGGGAGCTGGGCTCCCAGGAGGTGGCCGTGCCTGCCTGGGATGACGTCGCTGGCCTTGGCGTCTCTGCTCAGCTTCCTGCTCACCTCCGGCCAGGCCGAGGTCTACAGTCGCTGTGAGCTGGCCAGAATGCTGCAGGATTTCGGCCTGGATGGCTTCCGGGGATACAGCCTGGCGGACTGTGAGGACTGCGTTCCCTTCCTCCCTCTTCCTCCCTCCAGGGCTGTGGCCTTGGGAGCCTCTGTTCTCCTTTGTCAAACAAGGATCCCATGAGCTGAGAGGTAGAGAACACCTGGCACTGGGGTGATACACAGCAGGCAGACGACAGGCAGCCACAGCAGAACGACCTCTTCCTTTTCTCCCCCGCTGGTAAAGCCGGGAGCCACAGGAAGAGAATGGTGTCCTACCCTAATCTGAATGTCTGAGGATCAGACATTCCCAGTGAAGTTTAGGGCGAGCTGAGCAAAGCAGTATATACCAAACTGTTCAAGCTGGTGGCAGTTTCGAGAAGCTATGAAGTCCAGCCACACCCGGACTCATTTCTTCTCTAGTTCTAGCCCTCTCTCTAGGTTCCCCCTGTGCCTTCCTAATCATGTCTCTAAAGAGCGAGCTCTTGTTCGTTCACCCCACAGCATTTCTTGGGTCCTGCTATGTGCGGACAGTGAGACCGTGGGAAGATTGCTAGCCTAGGTGTCGGGACGCCTGAGGTCGGGTCCCGACCCTTGTTATTCGGTAGCTCTGTGTGACCTTGAGTCAGTCACTTTGCCCCTCCGAGAGCTTCGATGGATTCATTCGTCAAGGAGGTGGGAGGGCGTCTGCCCTGACTGCCTGGAAGCAGGAGTTGAGGCTCGGAGGAGGTGACGTGTGGAGTCTGCCCCATAAGCCCTCTGGTCTGGGGTGGCCTCCGTCATCCGACCCGCAGGCCTGTGTCTCCGCCCTGTGCAGGGGTCTGTCTTGCTTACTTCGCAAGTGGCTTCAACACAGCTGCCGTGGACCACGAAGCCGATGGAAGTACCAACAATGGCATCTTCCAGATCAACAGCCGGAAGTGGTGCAAAAATCTCACCCCCAAGGTCCCAAACATGTGCCAGATGTACTGCTCCGGTAGGCTGGGCCTGGGCCCGGGGCTGGCTGGGGCCGGGCTCTGCACCGGCCATTGCTTCTTCCCCAGCCTTGTGTGTTCCTCCTGCCTTATGTTTGAGTGGGGACCCCCGCTGCCTGCTGGGTCTACCAAGGAGGGCGGGATGGGGCGAGTGATGAGGATGGATCCTCCGTGAATATAATTTGGGGTCCCAGATGGGACACTGTCCTGAGAGCTGTGGCAAGGGAGGGGGGATGGCTTCTGATGGGGGGAAGTGATCGGGTAAGCCCTGTGCTTCCAGGGCGGTTGAGGGACAGGGTTGAATTTAGAATGGAGGAGGGTGTGTACGTGTGTGAGAAAGACAGAGAGATGGAGACAGACTCTGGCTATCCAGCTCCAGCCCCTGCTCCCTCATCGTGTTTCTCTGCCTCCCTCCCCAGACTTGTTGAATCCTAACCTCAAGGATACTGTTATCTGTGCCATGAAGATAGTTCAGGATCCCCAGGGTCTGGGCACCTGGTAAGTAATGTAGGTTGGAGGCCCCTGCAAGGAGACGTGGCCAGGACCACAGTAGGGAACTAACCTTCTCTGAGTGTCCTCCTTACCCCAGGCGCCATTCCATGGCCTCACAATCCAATCTGCACGGCCGCTTTCGGTGGTGGCGGAGCTCACTACCACTAATGTATTTACAGACAGCGCACTGAATTTTAGGGAGGATAAGCAAGTCACTGGAGGTCACGGAGCCAAGCCTGGCTCCTCCAAGACCTGCCTATGTCGGGATGCCTGCCTACAAGTTCACTAGTCCAGGGTCTAGGAACTTTGTTTCTTAACTGTGGCATCTTTGTCCAGTACAACAGATCAAAGAAGTTCCCTGCTTGAAGCGTGGGTGGGTGCCCTGGAGCCGCACCCTATCAGCCTTCCCTTTACTCACCTCCTTCCCACAAGATGGCCTTTAGAGCCATCCTCATAGGCAAGGGAGTTGGATGAGCACCCGATGGGGCGCTGGACTGTATCTTTGGAGCCCCTGAAGCAGCAGGCCTACAGCTTCCCAGCCTCTTCCGATGGGAGCTTCTCTACAGAGAGTCTCCAACCTCCCTTTACTCCCCTATCTGGATAGCAGCAGGGGTAAAATCCCTCCAGGTGGCCAGAACCCAGGGCAGATGTGATAGTGATGAGGCTGCTGGGGTAATTAGGAAAGTATCAAATGTCAGTCCATGAGCAGAAGGAAGCGAGACAGACTAGAGGCAGGGGGGCTAGTTGGGAAGCCTCTACAGGAGTCTAAATGAGAGACAGAGGGTGTGGACTCAGACAGTTATATAGGTGATGGACAGGAGAGGGGTGAGGGGTGAGGGGCTGTGGAGAAGGAACAGGGACGCGTGATATATGGCCAGTGAGCGAGAGGAGGAGGTGAAAAGGACCGTGAACGTAGAGAAGGTCCAAGGTGGGCCTTGACAATGGCCACAGCTTTGGAGACGTGTTGATTTGAGAACCGTTGAAGCCCCAGGAGCTGAATCTGGAATGAGGCAGGCTCAGCAGGATAGAATGCACATCTATAAAATCAGGAAGGGTGAATGCAGGCTCAGGTAGGAACCCAAGGGCTTGAGGCCTTGGGGGCATTACCCTGGGATGGAAGAAACAGGTTCTTTTGGGTTAAATCGAAGAACAACTCTCTTGTACGTTGGGAGTAAATTTGTGGCATGTATAACCTCTGAGAGGCGGCTGAGGCTAATAGGAAGTGGTTCTAGAATGTAGGAAGGGTGCTGTTTATTCCCTCCACATGCACACCTGAGAACTCACCTGTGCCAGGCTCTGTGCTGGGTGCTGGGCTTCAGGCGTGGCCAAGACCCAGTTCTTTGCCCTCAAGCGTCTCAGTCTAATGGAAGAGATGAACAATCAAGGTCCTTTAGGGGCCCTCCTTGCCATTGGGCTCTCTGACATTGACATCATAGAGGACCCTAGTTATCCAAGTTTGGAACCCCTGGGAACTTGGGACCCCCAGGAGCCCAGGATCTTGCTTAACTTCCTCAAGATGCTAGCATGACACTGGAACAAGGTAATGGTCCTAAAAGAGCCTATAAACTACAGTTACTGGCAACTGAAAGATCCAGATTGGTAGCCAAAGAGAATTGGGTGTAGGTGCATTTCTGTCATTTACAAGCTGTGGACCTTGGGCAAGTAATTCTGCATCTTAGGCTCAGCTTTTCATTTGGAACATAGGGAACATAATATCTGCCCAATTTACCTTATAGGGCTGCTGGGGGGCATGGCAGATAAATGGGTGATGGGTGTGGCAGTGCTATGTACACTGTAAAGGGCTGTACACATGTACGCTGGCATCACTGTCTGCAGAAACATCATGGTGTAGGAAGCGAGCATTGAATTGGGGCTGTGGACCCCAGTCTTTGCCACTGACTTCTGGGTGAACCTGAGCAAGTTACTCCATTGGTAAAATACGGAGGCTAGACAGGTAACTTTTTAAGGGCCATTCTCTCTCTTCTTTTTTTTTTTTAACTTCTTTTAGGGGGTTCTTTGCTAGTTAACACAGCTGACTTGTCTCTCTTCCCCTTGGTAGCCCCTTTCCTCACCTCACTTCTGGTTTAGAGCCCACGCCTCCATCCTTTTCTCCTCTGAGCAAAGATTGAAGACTGCAGCTGATTTGGTCTCTCCTCTTCCCCATCTTCCATCCTCAGGGAGGTCTGGAGGCATCACTGCCAGGGCGAGGACCTCAGTGACTGGGTGGATGGCTGTGAATTGTAGGATTCTCTCTGGATGGACAGGCCATGCATAGCAGCTTGGGAGATGTGGTTTGGTTCCTGACCCAGGCCTGGGGAGACAAGCCAACTAATAAAGTATAGTTTAATATGTAAGTGTGGTTCTCAGCTGTCACTGTGCGTCCAGGTGGTGTGTTGGAGCCAGAAGCATCTCAGGGTTTCCTCACTATCCGCCTGGGCTGGGGTTCAGCTGGACTTCAAAAAGCCTACCGCGGGAGGTTTGCCTCCACTCCTGGAGGCCTGGGGAGGGGGGGTGTCAGTGCCCGTGTTGCCCACACCTGGCAGAGTTTCCTACATGAACCTCCTGAATGTATGATTGTTGCATGAACGATGCCTCCTGAATGAATGGTAGGCACTCAGCTAACGTTTGCAGAACTAGCGAGTGAATGGGCCCCGATACCTTCGGGGTGTCAGCTGTCAGGCCCCAGGCTTCTCTCTGGATGGAGCCGCAGCCCCTCCCGAGCTCTCTCCCTCTCAGGGGGGCCGCTCTGGCTGCTTCTCCTCCAAGTCCCACTCACCTCGCACTTGGCCATATCTTGGAGCAGTGGGGGGTTTGGCACAATTCGGGAAGAGCTGGCTTAATGGGGTTTCTCCTTTATCTTGGCTGCCCGACCTTGGGAAGGTCACTCCACCTCTCACGGGCAAATTCCTCATGGACAAGAGGAGCTAATATAGGCCAGCTTGCAATATCGTGTTGATATCAATTACATAATACAGAGCAGGGAGGCACCTGGTACAGGGCGTGGCACAGAGTGGGGGGGACTTAAGAAACACTGGCCTCTTGTCTGGTTTCCCTGAGCTCTGGGGGCGCCAAGTCCCAGCCCACCTGGTGGGCACACGTCCTGCCTGTCCTGGTGACCAGGGCTTCCTTGGGAGGTCTGCACCAATGTCCTCGTCACTGTTTGCTGAGAATGAGGAAGAGGAGAGGAGAAGGTGTGGGAAGAAAGAGCAGAAGAGGCACGGGGATGGTTTGGATAAAGTGGCAGAAATTTCTATGGGAAGTGGGGAGAATTAAGTGAAGTTCTGGGACTTTTTAAAATTCAAGTCACTAATAAGAACCCACTGTATAGCACAGGGAACTCTACTCAATACTCTGTAATGACTTATATGGGTAAAGAATCCTCCCCAAAAAGTGGATATATGTATAACGGATTCACTTTGCTGTATACCTGAAACCAACACAACATTGTAAATCAACTATATTCCAATTAAAAATGTTAAAAAAAGAAAAGGAAAAAAAAAGTCCTGGTCACCTCATTCTTGGACTAGTTTGGCTCCAGGAGACTAATTGCAAATGGACTTTATCTTTTGTGCTATGGGTGGGGCGAATGCCCCAGGGGATAATTAGCTTGCTAAGGTGCTGCTCCTTCTCTACCTGCAAGTACAGGTGAGGGGGCCAGAGGCTCCTGGCAGCTGAGCGAGGCTCTGCAGTGTGCTTCTCCTGGGCTGAGGTCCCTGTGCTCTGCCTGTGAGATCCACACCCTCAGCTGGATGTGGCTGGCTTTTTTCACTCTGAGCACTGGCCTGAAGCTCGCTAGAGTGGGAAACTACGGGAAACTGGCCCAGTCAGATGGGATCCAGCACTCACCGGACACCTCTGTTGCAAACTGAGCACAAGCCTCTATTCTATGTGGCCAGGAATCCTTCTAACACTTCAGTGGAGCCACTCTTGATGGAGTTAGCATGTAGGATAGGACTTCATCATCTCTGAACTGCCACGTGTCAGGCATCTCACCAGCACTTTCCATGGTTTATCTCACCACCCTCGCAGCATCCCCAGGGGGGGTAGAGATGGTCATCCCCATTTTTCAGGAGAAAACTGAGCCCCAGACGAGTTCTAGAACTTGCCCAAGGTAACACAGTTGGTGGAGCTGGGATTCGGATGGGGCTGTTGAACTCCAAAGGCTGTGCTTTGTCCTCAGCATGTCCCAGCCTCCATAGCTGGACCAGCCCTTGGACTCTCAGTCGGCTGGACCCCTGGGGTGGAAAGGCACAGTGAATGGAGGGCAGTGGAGAGACAGCCCAGTTCTATCCAGCAAGCATCTGTCCTTCCTCAGACACTTCACGTTCTCCTCTGTCTCCAAGCCTTTGCTCAGGTATCTCCTCTGCAGACCTGCCTCCCTGGCAACTTCCACCCACCTCTCAAGGCTTCAGCCGGAACCTACTAATGCCTCAGCCCGGCAGACAGCCCTGGTGCCTCTTCTCCAATGAGTGTGCATGCCAGATGCATCTCTGCTTTACGTCTCTCTGCTCAGGTTCTCGTGTGCGTGTCTGTTGCCTACCTCTGCCTGCCTAGACTCTGAGCTCCCTGAGATTGTGTCCTCTTGATATATGAGCCACGCAGAAAATGCTCATGGGGTGAGGAAGCCCGGATGGAGACGCCCAGCTGGTGCCGGGAAGTCTTCCAGCTGTTTCTTGTCCCTCCTCCTTGTAAGGCAGGTTGAACTGAGGATGCTTTAGTGCCCTCCAATCACTTTCTCTTGGACTTCTTATAACTTAGATAGAATTCCTTTTGAAAAGAAGCCACAAAGTCTGAATTACACTAAAGACAAACTGCCCACGATGGTGCCAAGTTAGCCAAATGTGCCACTGCCTTCGGAAGCAGGTGGTGTGGAGAGTAGTTTTAAGGAGTCAAGACATCCAAATTCCCCATGCCAAGGCATCGCTCACGGCCATTATCACGGGGTGTTTTTTTTTTTTTTTTGCGGTACGCGGGCCTCTCACTGTTGTGGCCTCTCCCGTTGCGGAGCACAGGCTCCGGATGCGCAGGCTCAGCGGCCATGGCTCACGGGCCCAGCTGCTCAGCAGCATGTGGGATCTTCCCGGACCGGGGCAAGAACCCGTGTCCCCTGCATCGGCAGGCGGACTCTCAACCACTGCGCCACCAGGGAAGCCCTTTTTTTTTTTTTCTTTTTAAACAAAAAGCGCTATTACAGTCTTGCTCAAAAACAAATGAGACGTCGACAGGGGTGCGTGTCTAGGGGCTCAACGGTGTATGGAGACCGTGTGTGTGCGTTTCCTGCATACAGTGGACGCAGTGGTCACATTCCTGAAGAATCAGGCCACAGCGATGTTTGTAGAGCGACGCTACAGTTGCTTTCTATGTATGCAGGTCTCCTCGGCCCTCGTAATCACCACGTGCATAAAGTAATCCCAGAGGTTCTCTGTTCATACTGATTTTCTGCTCGTTCATTCATTTTGCCCTCTGTGAGAACTTGCTAGCACACAAGCTGCAGCAGGTGCCAAAGGTTTAAAAAATTATAGGAGAAAAACCTTGACATTGATCAAACCCAATCTATCCTTTTTCCTGCCTGTAAATTGAAAAATGACAGTCAGAGTATCACTTAGGGGAAGAAATGTTGGTTGCTCTAGTGGTACTCTCCTCCTGCAGTTCTTCTGGGGGAATGTTTAGCACTTTCTAGACCAGGGGTGCATCCCTAGGGGATCACAGATGGGCTTCGGGGGTCCATAACCCTCCTAAAATTGTAGGCAAAATTTTATGTACATCTATGGGGACACGTGCATTATTTTTTCTGGGGAGAGAGTTCATAGTTTTCACCTTAGTTTTAATCCAAGCAAGATTTAGAATCAATGTTTTACAGGAAGAAAAGAGGAAAGAAGAAAAGATAGAAAGTATACGCCTCGGCTCGTTTAATCCTCATAACTACCCTGACACCTAGGTATCATTATCTCCGTTATACAGATGGGAAACAGAGGCTCTGAGGAGTAAACGGAATATTTGCTTGGATACCTGACACCCATTCTCAAGTTAGACTCATAGACCATTAGAGTTGGGACGCACCAGAGGGATTATTCATCCATTTCCCACCCCTCCCCTCTTATAGAGGGGGAAACTGAGGCCCAGAGAAGTGAAATACATTTTCCAAAGTTACATGGTTAGTTTACAGCAGAAACAGGTTAGAAATTCAATCTTTTGACTCTGTCCAAAGCTTTTGCCAACTATTGCTTTATTCTTGCAAACCCGGTAAGCGTAGGTTTCATGGACTGTTAAATCGAATTGGTAAGACACCCTGCCCTTTCCACCCATCCTCAGGCCGGGCTGGTTCCCACTGACCTGTTTCATGGTCCCCAGGGACCTTGTGGCCCCAAACACACTCAGCCTATGAGCCTTGGGAATACACAGACACATGCGCAAAATGATTCTACGTGCTAGGAATCCCAAAGAAATTAGGTAGATGCATCAACCCTTGGCTTGGGAAATACGGTCCTAGACCCTTGGAGAGCAGAGGAAGGAGCTGAAAGACTTCAGCCACGATACAGCCTTCAACCTCTGCCCTGGCCCTTCATCCTTTGGCACCTGCCTGCCTCTCTGTGGTCATTTGGGCACTTTCCCCTTTCCTTTCTTTGCTTGGCTCCCCTGGACTTTCGTGCAGTCCCAGGACTGTGCCTCTCTTCCAGCACTCCCCCGTCCCACCCCACCCCCCGGCTTTGCATATGCTGCTCTATCGCTCTCCTTCCGCTGTAAAATTCAGATCCGTCTCTCAGGGTCATCTGTTTACTTGTCAGTGTCCCCTGCTCAGATGATAAATTCCTTGAGGGCAAGTGCCGGGCGCACAATAGACCATCAATAAATGGAGAACCCGTGTTCTTCACGTGTTTCCCCTTCCCGTATTGCCCTGCTCCCCTCCCAGCTATGCCAAGAAGCTTGTTCTATGCAGCATGGGATCTGCCCTGGCTGTGGGTGGACCAGGTCTGGCAGCCCACACCCCCGGAGAAGTAAATTCTTTGCTTCTCTGTAACAGGGGAGCTTTCTGTTTTTGTTTTTGTTTTTTTTTTGCGGTACGCGGGCCTCTCACCGCTGTGGCCCCTCCCGTTGTGGAGCACAGGCTCCGGACGCGCAGGCTCAGCGGCCATGGCTCACGGGCCCAGCCGCTCCGCGGCATGTGAGATCCTCCCGGACCGGGGCACGAACCCGCGTCCCCTGCGTCGGCAGGCGGACTCCCAACCACTGCGCCACCAGGGAAGCCCACGGGAGAGCTTTCTGGAGGCGCTTTCTGGAGGCCTCTTGCCTCTGCTCCGAGTTTAGGTCCCAGAATCGAATTGAAATCTCTGAGCTTGTGGAGGAGGAGGTCCCAGGTTCTTCCTTGCGTCTCAGGCTCAGACTGGCTGAGCTGAGCTTCACCTGAGGGAACCGTTACCACGAAGATCACACCTGTGGGCGGGGCCTGCCCTACCTTCCTCCCTCCCAGCTCACCACGAACCTAGCCAGAGCCCCTTTGTGGACCCTTGGTCACTAGGTGTGCTCCTGGTTGAGACTGTTACGAAAATAGCTCCCAGCTGGAGAGAGGAAAATAACCCTGACCTCTCTCCGCCCCAAACAACAGGAAAAAACAGCATTTAAGCAGCAGCTCGCTCAGTCCCTGGCAAGGCTACTCACAGAAATGCTTATTCCTTTCGCCCAACTGCAGCAGACCACCGATTCTGAGATCATATGCCGTTATTTGGTTGATCGATCAATTGATTGGTTGACGTGACGCTTTGAGGTCACTGATGATTCATCCTTGTGCTTTGCTGGGCTTGTGATCTGTCCAAACTCGCGGCCATCATGTCATCATTTGGGTGACTCTTGGAAATGTGACAATTCCCAGGTCTTCTCTGTCTGCCAAACCTCTCCAGTAAAGAAATCATTTCTCCATTAAAGGAATGATTGCACACAAGGCTACTTGTTTGTAATAATGATACTAAAAAATACCACCACTCCCAAGAACTTAGGCTTCCAACTATGTCTGTGCTCAACAACCGGTTAATTATAATCAGTAGCTGGGTATTGATTTATTCTCTCGAATTTCCTGTCTTGTTTTCTTTAAACAGGTTCAGTTTGTAGACCTGCTCCCAGATGAGCAAAGCCAGAATCCCCAAATCGGAAGGGGCACATACAGAAGCCTGAAGCAATCCAAACCTGTGAGGACAGGCTTCACTCCACCCCAAATTGATCTGAAGTTTTTGTTTGTTTGTTTGTTTGTTTCAAAGGAAGCCAGGAAGCTAATGAAGCAGTTCAAATAGCAATTTAAGTTACAGATTTAAAAAAATGTATGAAACTGTTAAACTGGAACGAGGCAGAAGCATCCAACAGACTCCCAACTCACTGAATAGACGTTTAATTTGGACTCTATCCCTGATGGGAGCAGTCTGAAGACATTTCCTGTTCTTCTACATCCTATAGTCTAGGCACCAGAAGGCCACTTTCCAGCCTGACGTAATGAGGAGTGAACTTCTCTCAGGAGAAAGACTTCCATGCCCTGGCAAAGTTTGGAAAAATGATCACACTCGGTCCTTCTTGCTTGAAGTGGGCCTACAGATGGAATTGTGAGCCTGGGAGCTTGGGAGTGCAGTTTGGGCACCGCTGCTAACTCACTGTGTGACGCTAGGCAAGTCTCTGCCCTCCCTGTTTGGGTCCGCTCATTTGGAAAATGAGGGTAAGTAGGTTATGTGGTCCAAAGGGCTCTTGCTAGGCAGAATAATGGCCCCCAAAGAGGTCCACGTCCCAAGGCCTGGAACCTGTGAATATGTTGCTTTACATGGCAAAAGAGACTTTGAAGATGTGATTAGTTGACAACCTTGAAATAGGAGGGTTATCCTGGATTATTGGCTGTGCCTAATCTAACCTAGTCTAATCTAATCTAATCTAATGAATCTAATTGAGTCCTTTAAAAATGTAAGAGGCCAGCAGGAGAGGATCTGAGTTAGAGGGAGGTGTGACTACAGGAGAAGGTCATTGTCTTTGTGAAGTAAGGACTCAACCCATCATTCCTGTCTTTGAAAGAGGAAGAGGCCACAAGCCAAGGAACGTGGGTAGCCTGTAGAAGGTGGAAAAGGTGAGGAAATGGTTTCTCCCCTAGAGGCTCCAGAAAGGAAGGCAGCCCTGCTGACACCTAGATTTTAAACCAGTGAGACCCATGTCTGATTCTTGGCCTCCTGAACTGTAAGATAATACATCTGTGTTGTTTTAAGCCACTAAGTTTGTCATTTTGTAGCGGCAGAGATACAACACGTAAACAGGACACTTCCAGAAGCTGTGCACCCTGTTTCTAAAAATTAAAACCCAGCTTTGCTAACAGCCCTGGGCAGCCCTAGCTGAGAGGGATGCTCTGTCCCAGCTGCCTCTTGGAGCCTGGTGACTGCAAGCTCCCGGCCCCGGCTTGGTGTGTGTGGCTGGCGTGACTTGTCCCACTGGCAGGGGGAGTAGTACCGTCATAGCACCTCGAGTCTGAAGGGGCCTCTGGAGATCATCTGTGAAGACACAGGTAAGGTATTATCTTCATACTCAGATGGACGGAACTGAGCCCAGAGAGGTGCATGATCTCATCCATCAGTTCCTTGTGTTGAGAGAGAGAGAGAGAGAGAGAGAGAGAGAGAGAGAGAGATTGGATAGCGAAGCAGGGATCAGACTGCCTGGTCTAGCCAGTGCTTTCCGTGCACTTGTGCATGAGGAGGGAGGTACAAACCGTATTAGGTCTTTCTTGTGGCTCTGGGGATGACTTTGAGTTGGGAGTGGTGGGGGGAAGTAAGGGGAAGTAAAAGGTTAGACCACAGGAACTGGTCCTGCGGAATTAGGGGGGGCTTGAAAGGGCATGCCCCATCCCCAGCAGAGGGCACCCCCCCTCCTCTCCCACATGGACGTGCTCTCAGGAGTCGTGGGGAGCGAGGCAGAAGTAGATCAGTCTGATGGGGGTGAGGAGGTGGGCTGCAGAGAGGGTTGGGAAAGGCAGGAGTGTGCGAGGGGGCCATGCTAGGGCAGGTGTCCAGCCTGAATTCACTGGCTGGGTCAGGAGAAGCCAGGACAGAGGACGGAAGAGCAGAGGGATGTGAAGGCCTCCTCTAAGGTTTGTAGGTCTGTGTGGCGTGCTCTGCCTCCCTGTCTGCATGCCACGTGCCTGTGGTCCAGCGCAGTGTCGTTCAGACCTTGGGCTGTGACCCATTCGTGGGGTGGGGAAGCCATTTACAATGTGGTGATCAATAGTGTTTAAAGACGTGGGGGGCTTCCCTGGTGGCGCAGTGGTTGAGAGTCCGCCTGCCGATGCAGGGGACTCGGGTTTGTGCCCCAGTCTGGGAGGATCCCACATGCTGTGGAGCGGCTGGGCCCGTGAGCCATGGCTGCTGAGCCTGCGCGTCCGGAGCCTGTGCTCCGCAACGGGAGAGGCCACAAAAGTGAGAGGCCCCCGTACCACAAAAAAAAAAAAAAAAAAAAAAAAAAAAAAGATGTGGGATAGAATAGAATAGAATACAGAGCGTACGTGTTTTGTAAAGGTAAGTAATGCATAAACTATGTCATCTAATTATCTATCTATTTATCACCTATCTATCTATCTATCACCTATCTATCTATCTATCCATCTATCTACCTATTCGTCCTGTGGTTTTTGACCTGGCAGATCTGGCTCTTTCCTAAAGTCTTGGGGAGAAAGAGTGCGGGGGAAGAGCAGAGACGACTCAGCCATTTCCACAAGACCAGCTTTTAATATGACTGTGATTGGAAGCACAAATAAATAAATGCCAAGAGAAAATGGAAAAACCAAACCAAACCTCAGAACATCAAAACCCAAATTCAGAAAACGAAATGAAACAGATCTCCGACAGACAGACAAACAAAAAAAAAGACCCCCAAAGAAACAGAATCAGACTGTACAAGCCGTGTCACAGGGAGAGCAGAATGACGTGGGCACCGCGGATGAGTCCCCGGGGCCGCTGTGGAGGGGAGGGGGTGGCCCTGATCACCCTGTGGGCCGGCTTGGGGAGGTGGGGGAGGGCTTTGTGGGCAGGTTAAGAACCTTCACAAACTACACAAGGACCGGACGCCGTCGAGTTCTGCGGCTTCCCTCTTGATCGCGCAGGTGTGATTCCAGCGTGGCCTCGCGTGACTTCAGGGCTGGAACCTGGTCCCCCTGCACAGCTGCAGAGGGACTGCTGGAAACCGCACGGAGGAGGGTCAAGTACGGAGACAGACGTGGAGGCGGTGCCGTGAGGACTCAGAGCATGCAGTTGCTTTTTACATCTGGCAGTGAGATGTGATGGCAGGTCGGTTCTCGGACAGTTCCAGAGCGTGACTCACTTCTCCTAAGAGGGACGGATGCGCGGCAGCAGGGCCTGAGGACGCGTCGTGCCAGACGAGGCTGGAGCGAGGTTTTGACAGAGTGTTTGCTATGTGTGCATAGGGGGCTCTTGCTTCTTTCCGTCGGTCGGCAGGGGTCATCCCACCTGAGCCTGCCGTCCCCTGTTCTGGTCCTGGGCCTCCAGGTCTGTCTGGGGGGTGCCGGGCAGTCGGAGGGCTGTCAGCAAGCAATCTCCTCCAAGGTCCCCAGGGCTGTCTGCAGGGGCACGTTCACACTGTGGCTGATGTTTTCGGAGTGGTTTGGCATCGGGTCGCAAGTGCTCTGGTGGGAAGCGGAAAGTGGGCGTTGATGCTCATTCAGCAAAAGTTCATCACGATGCCCCCGCGCAGCCCAGCCCAGGCCCCGGGAACCACGCTGCCCACTGTGGGCTCTCCCAGGGCACAGCTGCTCTGCCCCAGACATCTCACACGCTGGCTTGCCATCTTGGACCATGAGGCTGAAGGGGCCTCATTGCCTTTAGAATCCTCTCCATTCTCCACCTAGGCACACCCCCCCACCCCCGCACCCGCAGAGAGGGGATGGGGCTTAGCGACTGGTTTGACCTTCTCTCTAGCGGTCCCCTGATGCGTCACCTGAAGCGACATCTGAGTGGTATGTAGCTTTGGAGCTTGGATGGCCCATCCTACCCTCGCCCTTGGGGTCTCTGTTGGGTCAGCCTGGGCTGGAGGAGGGCTGGTCTGTGGCCAAGCCTGGGGCAGGGGGTGCCAATCGCTGAGGCCAAGCAGTGGAGGCCCCCAGCCAGAACCCTGACCCCTGATCACAGCTGCCTGAAGGACCTTTAGGTTAGGCTGGCTCCAGGGAAGAGTGGTCTTGGGTCCCTGAGCAGGGTGGGGCTGAGATAGCTTTGAGTTTTCCAGGTGATTCCCAGGCTGCGGAGGGCTGGAGGCTGGGAGGGATGGGAGCAGAATTCGGTGCCAAGAATGCGGCTCGGGGAGGGGGAGGGAGCTCATTATAAACTAGGCAAAGCTCACGGCTTTCCGGGCCTGGCCTCACTTAATCTGAATGGCACTCCCTGAAGCCCCAGTGATTTAGCAGATGATCAGAAAGGGAAGTAACGAGCCCCAGGCACACGAGGCTGGGAAGCGGGGACCTGGGATCCAGGCAGGTAGCTGAGTCCAGAGCCTGGCCTCCTTCCACACTGCTCTGTCCTCAACAGAAGCTGTCTTCTGTTCAAACCCGAGAGAATCAAAGTGAGATTTTTAGCCTGGGAGATGGGTAGAGAAACAGTGTCTGGAACAGAAGTGGGAGCCCAAACAGGAGGAGGGGGCTGGGGTCCCTTTGGCATGTTATGATTTTAAGGGGGCAAGTGCCCATTGAATGGGGTGGTCTCTTGGGGCCGGGGTGCTGACTTGGGGAAAGCCAGCGATAGCTGCAACCTTCAGTGGAGACCGGGGTCTAGGAGCAGACTGAGTTAGGGAAGAAGAATTAGCAGCATAAGAGGTGCTGCCCCTCTCTGGCTCGAGGAATGAGAGGCGGAGGAGGACAGTGGTGGTTAGGGAGGCTTTGTGCCCAGCTCTGACACTCACCTGCAGTGTAACCTTGGTCTGAGCTGCAGCCGCCTCATGCATAGACCTTCCTCTAGGGTGACTGTCGGGTTGAAATGATGAGTGCCTTAAGGGCACTTAGCACAGTGCCTGACATGTACCAGGCATGTACAATGGTTAGCAGTTCTGATGGGTATTATTGCCACTACCGAATTCACAGGGCCGCACACCCTACGTCCCCTTCAAAACGGGGCAGAATGCCAGGGACATCCCTGCTTGTATTCTGCCGCCCCGCAGAATAAGGGAGTGGACCTACGCAGAGCCTCTCCGGTTCTCCCAAGGCATGAGAAGAGGGGCGTGGCCTCTGGCCTGGGAGAAGCTGGACTGGTCCAGGCAGAAGCATCTCCTGGTCTCCGCTGCATCCACGGCTTACTACTGGGCTCTGGGGTGAGTCTCAGAGAGAGGCTCAAGGCTCAGTTGGATTTGGGAGCTGCAGAGTGTCACAAGCCACGGAAAGGTGTGCAACGAAGCACGGCCCACCCTCCGGCCCCACCCGGCCCCCGCATCTGGGTTAACATGGCCTGTATGTGCTAGAGGAACTAAGCAACCTGCAAACCCCGGGCTGCCCTCACCACATTCTCATCGTGGCTCCTTTCCTCCTCTTCTTTGCCAAGCAGGTCTAATAGCTTGTCTTTGATCAGCTGCAAGAAAGGCAGGAAGGGGGTGGTCAGGCCAGAAGAACGGCGCCAAGGTAGAGAAAGAGAGAGAGACCTCCCTCCACGTGGCTGGGCTGGGGCCCCTCCCCAATCTCTGGGCTGAGATGGGATTTTGGAGCAGGTGCTAGAGCTTGGAGGGGGTCACGGGAGGGCCTGGTCTCCCAGTATGGCTGGTTCCTTGTCTGTCCTGGGGGGACAGAATTACTCATCACTTCCGAGGCCTGACAACTCCACAGTTCACAAGATCGGGATACACTTGAGTTCTTAACATTTGATTCCTAGCAAGAAAGGGTAATTACTAAATATGTTCCCTGGTGCGATTCAATTTCTGTGATTTTGTGTATCTTTTCACAAAAATGAGTAAACAAGGCAGAATGAAATCTGGCCATGGGACCCGTTTGGGAACAAGGTCACCGTGCTGAGAGGCAGGACGTGGCACTCTAGAGGCCCCTGGTCGCCGCTGCCCGCCGGCTCCCTGCAGTGACTCCCAGCGGCCTTTGGCCGTCGCCAGCCCCCTCTGGGATGCAGGCCACTGCTCTGCAGGCCCCGTTTGCTAGGCTGAGACTCAGGCGGTCCTGGGGACGGGCCTGGACTTCCCTGAGGGATTCTGGAGTCCCTGGAGCCATCCCGGGGCTGGGGGGAGGGAGGCAGTGGGAAGGCTGACGTGCACCCGGAGCGCTCAGTGACTGAAGCCACTGTTTGTCGTGTGAGAAGCTTTCAGAGGCTTTGTCCAGCTGCCTCCTGAGGGTGACAGCTCCCGGACTGTTGGTGGCCAGGAGCGCAGGGGTGCCCTTGCTCTCCCTGCTCAGGACTGATGAGCACTGCAGGAGTGATCCTTCCTGAAACCTGCCTGGACCACGGAAGGCGCTGCTCGGGCGATGGGCCACCAGGAGGGCAGGGGTGTGTGTGTGTGCGTGGGGTGTGCGTGTGGCGTATGTGTGTATTTGTGAGCAGTGTGTGTGAGCACGGTATAACTGTGTGTGATATATGTGTGTGGAGCGTGTGGTGTATGTGTGTGCAGATGTTGCGTGTGAGTGTGGTATAAGTGTGTGTGATGCGTGAGTGGTGTGTGTGTGTGCATGTGGTGTGCGTGTGGTGTACATGTGTATTTGTGAGTAGTACGTGAGTGTGGTATAAGTGTGTGTGATATATGTGTGTGCATATGTCGTATGTGAGTGTGGTATAACTGCGTGATGTGTGCGTGGGGCACGTGTGTGAGTGGCGTATGTGGAGTGCGTGTGGTGTATGTGTGTGCATATGTGGTGTGTGAGTGTGGTGTGTGGTGAGTGTGAGGGTGCAGACACACGCATGTCTGAAGCCCCCTAGCAGCGGGAGGGGCTCAGGCTGGCCTCAGCACAGTTTCATCCTCTTCTCATCCCTTCTGCTCCCTCCCTGTGAGTGTAGACAGCCCTGAGGAGGGGCCTGTGGCTTCTGTCTCTCTTACATCCATCCCTCCCCCAGTGCCTAGGAGGTGGTGATAGACAATGTCCATGGACAGGGAGGGGGAGGCGGCCCTGGGGGAAGAGAGGCCGTGCTCTCCCCCCATCCATGCTCGGTTCTGGACGTCAGGGCAGGATGAGGGCACCAGGTCATCCCCCCACGAGCGATCCCAAATCTTACCTCATAAATATAATCAAAGAGCTCTAGTATTGTAAGGATACTAGCACCAATAAACAATCCCATCTGACCACCAATGTCACCTGGAGAGAGAGAGAGAAGACAAAGACTCGGCTTTCCTGACAGCACTTCCGGAAGGGCTGAACAGACTGAGAACTCGGAACCAGGCCTTCTGAACGGGTTCCCCTTCCCGGGGGGCCGGGGTGTGTAGCTGGGAGGCCAGGCCCTTGACGCGTCCCTCCCTCACTGCACAGCTCTGAGAGCTGGGGGGTTTGGCTTTCAGCAAACATGGGGACGGGAACTAACCTGGATGCTTTCGGGGGGGCCTGGAATAGACCTCATGGGCTGACAGGCTTGTTCATTTCCGTTCAGAACCACACTGTGGGGCTCAGGTTTGGCTCTGGGCTGGGAACAGACGAGGTGCGTGTGGTCCCTGGCCTGGGCGAGGACACAGTTTAGCTTGAGACGTGTGTCAGGTTCCCTGAGAGGGGGTCTTGGGAGCAGTAACACAAGAGACACCCCCCAGTCATGACATGGGCTTTGGGGCCGCCTTGGGGTCCTTCTCACCCTTGGGCTAGGCCGTAGGAAGCATCTCCCTGTGTCCCCACCTAAAGGTACACGTTCAGTTTGGTCTCTTCCTAGAGTAGAGGTCCTTGCCCTGGATGTTGGGCCCCACCGACCAGTCTTTCTAGACTGGTCTTCGGATACCCCTGCATCAGACTCTCGGGATCCTTGTAATCAGTGCAGATGCCTGCACCTGCCTGAGGCCTACACAATCAGAACCTCTGGGCTTGGGGTCTGGAGGTCAGGATTCTAAAGTGCCTGGGCGGTTCTCTGGCCCACCAGAGTTTGAGAACGGCTCTCCTGTGGGAGCTTCCAGTGGCTGGAGACCCCCTGAATGGAATGCGATCCACTGTGTGTGCACCTGGGCATTTGCAGAGGGAGAGTCTGTATTTCAGAAGTTATTATCTGATTCTCAAGGGGGTTCTGATCCCCCCCAAAGCCCCAAGCGCTTCGTTCTGGAGGCAGTGTGGTAGAGCAGGGGGCTCTGAGGTTGTGCGTTTGGAGGGGGGCCACCAGCTCGCTGTGCGGCTTTGATAAGCCCTGACCTTGTCAGGAGCTTTGCCTTCCGGGCACATTTGGTGGTGGAGGTGGTCGGGGTGGGGGCGGTGGTCGGAGGAGATGAACTGTGAAGTCCTTTCCAGCTGTGACCTCTAAGACTGGCAGCTGCTGGGCTGGGCTGGGGAGAGCAGGTGCTGTTGGGGGTGAATGTACTCTCCTCCTGGAGAGTCCAGGCTGACCTCTTGGTCTGAGAACTTTTGGATGAGTCCCTCTGCCCACTCCTCCCCTGATTATGGCTGGAGAAGCCCAACCAACACATCCCCAGGCGAGCAAGCCGTGACGACGGGAAGGCGGCCCTTCCTGGGGGGACCTGGTTTGGGGCTCAGCGTGGCTCCCCTTTCCTCCTCTCCTGCCCCTCCGCCCCCTCTAATATCCTCAGTAGAGGCTTATCGGGGAGTGTGCACGATGCGTGTGCACGTCAGGAGTGGGGTGTGTCTGTGCCTGTGCAAGCGGTGTGGCGGAGCGTGGGGTATGGGCCTGGGTGCGCCGTGCGCGAATGCGTGTGGGATAGACGCAGGCGATACGTCTGACCACCGACAGCTTTACATAGGCGGCAAGCCACGTCTAGGGTAGCTACACGAGTGCGTCCAAATGTGGCTTTGTGGGAGTGGGCACAGTGTGTCTGAGTGAGCATGTGCAGGTGTGAGCACGTGAGTGTGTAAGCACGCAACTTGTGTGCACGTACGTGTCTCTGCAGCCGCGTGGCTTGCATGTGGGTCTGTGAGGGTGTGTTCACCGCGGGAGGGGTGCGCTGTGCGCGGCGGGGGGAGGGGAGGGACGGGCCCGATTGGGTGCCGTGGCTCACGGTTTGCAAGTAGCACTTGCTGTCCTCACGGGAGGTACAGATGGCAGCAGGACTTTCACGGCGGGCTATTTTGGGTGGGAACAAGATGCTGGGAAGATGCTCTCTCATATCTGCTGCAGGGACCAGCTACCTCTCCTGACAGATTCGGGGCTCAGGCCCTCATCACTGTGTGTGTGTGTGTGTGTGTGTGTGTGCATGTGTGTGTCTGAGTGTGACTGTGAGCCTATGTAGGGGAGGGGACGGAAGTGGAGGAGGCATGTCCTTGGTCTTCTTTAGGAAATAAAGGTGGCAGGAGCAGGGCTCTACCACCAGCTCAGGGCATGAGGCCCTTTGGCCACAGGCCCTTTGGCCACAACAATCTCCAAGGCCCAGGTGATGACCACCTTAGCCCAGCGGGCACCCAACTGTGGCCCAGTTCCCCAGCCTCCTGGGAGAGGAACAGACACGCTCAGACGGTGCCGCAGGGTAGGCCCTGGGTCCCTGGCATGGTGTCTGTCCACATGCCAGAAACCTCTATTTATGGACCTCCTGTGGGCTGGGGCTTTTCCACATTTAACCATCACGGAAAACTCACAAAATGAGTTTTATTAGACCCATTTTACAGATGAGAAACCTGAGGTTCAGTGAAGCCACCTGCCCACCTTCTCCCAGTTGGTGTGCAGTGGCCCGTGGCTTGCTCTCCCCTTGTACTTCCAGGTAGAAGGTGTATGCCTCCCCGCCCTCACCCAGGATTCTATTCTCACCTGATTCAGTTCACAGAGACAAGAGCTATTTTTCCTCGAAGCCACAGACACCAGATCCTTTCTTGAGAGTGAGTGGGAGTTGGGGGACGAGTCCAGAGCAGGTTTTTTTTTTTTTTTTTTTTTTTTGGTAGTACACGGGCCTCTCACTGTTTTGGCCTCTCCCGTTGCGGAGCACAGGCTCCGGACGTGCAGGCTCAGCGGCCATGGCTCACAGGCCCAGCCGCTCCGTGGCATGTGGGATCTTCCCGGACCGGGGCACGAACCCATGTCCCCTGCATCGGCAGGCGGACTCTCAACCACTGCGCCACCAGGGAAGCCCCAGAGCAGGTCTTTTTAACTGTGCACCCGCAGGGGTCTTGTGAGTTTTACGCTGGGCTGGGACTGTGTTGAAATTAACTTCCTGCATCCATCCTGTGCCCTTGGGGCCAGGGGAGCTGGCCCCAGGGTGGGGTGGCAGTCAGGTTTGTAGATTTCTGGGGATGCATGGCCCTTCTGTTGTGTTTGACAAAGGGCTCTCAGTCCAGGGGGCACAGGGCCTTCTCAATGCAGCAAAATTGCTTTCCAGTGGGGGCTCCATGGGGGACCCTCCCTGGGCCCACTGCCTGGGACCACCCACAGCTCAGCCCTCCCTCCACTTGACAGCTCTTTCTTCCTGCCATGGCCCCAGGGCTCTGACTCCAACCTGGGGGCAGAAGACCATAGAATCCCAAGAGGATGGCGCTGGAAAGGCCCCGAGACAGCGTCTAGCTCACTTACTTCAATGTGTTGATGGGGTAACTGAGGCCTAGACTGGGACATGAACTGGGCCTAACACCTCCAGCACGTGGAGTTCTTCCCATTCTGGGGCAGGAACAGTGCAAAGGGAAGAGGGAGTAACCCGCGCACCGGCCCATCCCCATGAGACGTGGACATTTGTGCAACAGACACTCTGACCTACCAAGTAAGGCAGCAACTTCGTACGCCTTCTTCTGTTCAATGGTCTCATAATTGAGAGCCTCAAAAAATATATCCAGGACGAGGATGTTCTCTCTGCGGAGGAAATGTCCAGTGTCATACGTGGTGAGAACCCTCAGGATCCATGGGGATCATCTAATCCAGTTTTCCCACAGACAGATGGGGAAACTGAGGCCCAGGCAAGTGAAACAACTGGCCCAAAGGTAGAGCTCGTTAGTGGCACAGCTGGGGCTTGAACCTGACATCCTGACTCCCGGCTCAGTGCCCTTCACGGCCCTGGAGGCGTATATCAGCTGTCCCCTTGGCCCCTCATTGCTAACGCCCCTGTCTCTCTGCACCCTTTCCAGGAATCCTGCCCGGCCTCCAGGTCTCCGTGCTCCCAGAGGGTCTGCCTGGGCCCTTACGTGCAGGTGAGCTCAGCAGTCTCTTGACAAGGCTTGCTCGCCTGCCCCCCGCTGACCTCCCCTGCCACTCTGGAGAGGCCCCCAGTTCTTACTGGGATTGATAGCAAGCTTCTCCTAGTGGGGGGCCCTACCCCGGAAGGCCAAGTCAGCTGCAGGGACCAGGGAGGGTTTTTAGGGAGAAAACCCACACCTGGTTGCAGGGTTTCTGATGGAAGCACCCCGGTTCCCTTTTGCTCTTTTGGGCAGATGTGTGCACGAGACACATCTAGGCAGGAGAAGTCATTACGGCCGGCACAATGTCTGCGACAGCGGTGCCTGGTACCTCCTACAAAATTCCCTGCCTCCTTCCACGACGTGGCTCACAATGCCCTCAGCGTCCCTTGTCCTCAACCCTGGGACGGAGCAAAAGCCGTCCCAGGATGAGGTCTGGTGACGGTGTGGGCAGGAGGGAGAGGCTGGGGGCGAGGAGCCCTCTCCACGCGGGGCTCGCCGAGGTGCCATTCACAGGGTCACCCTCTCTTGCCTGGTTTATGGCAACTGCTTCCCACCTGGCTCCCTTCCGCCCACCTGGCTTCCGGTCCGACCTCTATCTGCCGCCTGAAGGGTCTTCCTAAAACCGCTAAACTAATCCACGTGACATAAAATTAGCATCCAGTTCCTCCATCACTCAGGCTACATTTAAAATGCTCAGTAGCCACATGTGGCCAGTGGCCATCATGTAGGACATCACAGATAAAGAACATTTCCAGAAGGTTCTACCTAAACGGCAAATGTGAGCCTGTCACTCGCCTGGTGGAAGCTCTTCTGTGGCTGCCTGTCCTCTTAGAATAAGTCCACTCTCTGCATCCCCCCCCCCCGCCCAGCTCAGCCTGCAGGATCTTCTACCTTGGACGCAGTCACCTCCCCCAGCCTCCCCTTCCCCTAATCTTGTCTGCCCTTCACGGATTTTCCCTGCTGAGGCTCTGCCTGGGACACCCTCTGCTCCTGTGTCTTTCTTTCACTTATTCTGTTAAAAGATACATATATATATAGTTGAGCATCAACTCTGTGTCAGACACTCCACAGCAGAGAACAAAACAAGAAAAGTTCCTGCTCTCAAGGAGCTTCACTTTCCTGAAGTGGGCAAGTTAATTGCAGGAAACACACACACGTGAATATAGAATTACACATGGTGGTGTGTGTTATAAAGGAAAACACCAGAGAGCTTCAAGAGAAAAATGACAGGAGGGGACTAATTTAGTCGTCCAAAGAGATGACGTTTAAATGGAGACCTGCACAATGAGGAACCAGCTAGGTGAAGAGTGAGAGGAAAAGCATTCCAGGCAGAGGGAACAGAATGTGCAAAACCTGCCTGGAAAACTCCTCTACATCCTGTAAAAACATCTCTGCATTGACATATACACCCTAATATGTATAAAATGGATAACTAACAAAAAAAATGCAAAAAGAAAAACATCTCTGAAGCTTTCCTTGACAGCGTCCCTACGCAAGGTGCGGCCAGCCACTTCCCTTATTACCTGCATCAGCCTATATAGCTTTCAGCTTTGTACTTGTCGCTCCACCAGACTCTAAGCTCCTTAAAGCCTGGGGCTGCATCTTAATCCGCTTTGTCTTCATATTCTGAGTCTGAGCACAGAACGTGGCAAACAGCAGGTGCTCAGTTCATGTCTGCCAAATAGAAGTAATCGCTTACCTTGCCCTCGACTACCCCGCATTTTTTCCTAGTCCATCCTCCCCCACCTCCATCCACCATGTCCACTTAACGTACGAGATATATTTTTCTGATTTGTTAAATTTCTTCTCGAGGTACTTGGCTGACGTCTTGCTGGGAATCTTCACCATGGAGAGCTCTTTGTTGTAGCGGGTCAGGTTGCAGGGTGTCCTGCAGAGACAGTAATTACTGTCCTTTTCCGCCAGCAGACCTGGAGGGGAGAGGGAGGCAGGGCTTAGTCAGGTGGACCTCCTGGCCCAGAGTAGCCAGGTTCCCGCAGCAGAGGAGTGAGCTGGGAGGAGGTGCCACCGGGTAAATAAGGGGTGGGGGGCTGTGGAGAGAAGGGGGGCCGGTTGATGAGGGTGTGAGCTCTCGTAGAATGTGCCCACTCTTTCTCTGTTACTCTTGGTCCTGTTTTCCTTTTGCTTCCTTCACTGTTATGTCACCCTTTGTAAATCTTTGAAAAGGCTCCACTTTTGGAGAATGGGCTCCGAGGGAGTCCCGGACCCCTCACCTCCCCAGGGCCTTCTTCTCTGCTCCTAGCCTCAGTTCTCATCTACAAAGGGGGCTGTTCTCCAAAGGCGAGTGTGGGAGACCATTTTATCTGAAACTCTGGGCTCCGCGGTACTCCCTCTGGGGCTCCCTCGTAGCCAACGACCACCTGCTCTGCTCGCTGGTTTAGGACGCAGAACTGAGGCTTTGCATCCATTGGAAGTCACTCCTTCTCCTTCCCGCCAGCCCTCCTGGAGGCGTCTGGACGTGTGAGCCCCGAGCTGCTGCACTTAGATCCAGCAAGTGCAGCTGCTGAACGAACTTGAGTCCGGATGATTTAGATACTCTCTGCTTGTCTTGGTTATAGATCATTTCCCGGGTCCGGAAGAGGTGGGCACGTGGAGTGGGTCTAGCTTGGGGGTTGCAGCTTGTTTGTGTGATCTCCCTCACTGGAAGTTTTCCAGGGTCGGGGGGTGGGTGTGGACCAGCAAACACCCAGCAGAAGGCAGAGGAGCAGGGGGAACGCGCCTGGCTCAACGGAGCACGCAAAGACAGGACAGCTTTGGAATAACCGCGAGAGCGTGTGCGGGGAGATACGGCTGATCTCCTTTGGGGCCCACCCGGATGCTCACTGTCGATCCTCTCTGCCCGCTCCCCTGCATTCCGCAGTGCTCTCTGCTCTCCCAAAACCCACTCCTTCCCTACCCCCACCTCTCTACCTCCTTTCTTTCCCTAGTCTGGTTTCCAGCCCTCATCCACTTGCATCAGTTCCCTCCCCACCCCTCTCTCCTTCCTCCTCTCCATCTCCCTCTCCCGTCTCTGCAGGGACACCACCCTTTCCAGCCTCTTTCCCCTCACCCTTCCCCACTCCCCTTCCCCCCATCTCTCTTCTGCACCCGGAAGTTCTGCAAGGTCTTGATCGCAGCCCCTCCACCATCATTCCACCTGGCCCCTGGTACTGACCTAGGGCAGGCTCGGCACACTCCTTGTGTTGCTCAGGGGTACAGAAAGGGGCATCCCCTGCAAAGAAGAAAGACAGGGAGAGGTACTCAGGCAGCAACCCCTTCCCTCCTTGGGCTGGAGGAAGGGATTGCATCCAGCTACCTTGGTACCTAGGAGGGGCAGCAGTTCACCAGTGGATGGTCAGAAGCCCTGGGGGTAGTGGGGGAGCAGAAGACTGGGTTCTGATCTGCTCTGTGATAACAAGACCGGTCTAGCTAACTTCTCCCAGGTTGCACAATCTGGCTTACATATGTGATAGGAAAGCGCTGACAGTTCAAGTGGGGAAGCAGTGGTAAGCAGCTACTAAGTCCTGGGTATGCATTGTCCCCTTTAACCCACACGGGTACCTTCAGAAATAGGAAATACTGTTTCTGTTTCACCCATGAGAGAATTGAGGCGTAAGAATCCTGTTTTCCCAGGACATCAGAGCTAGCGGTGATGGAGGTGGGCTTTGAACCCAGGTCTGTCTGATCCCGAGGCCAGGGCTCTTTCCACCACACCACACTGCTGTAGGGGAGTGACGGCTGCTTTGTAAGTCTCCTCTTTGCTGTGCCCTTAATTCCACATTATAACTGAGATACCAGTAACAGTGTCATGTGGGGGTGGGGGGCGGAAATGATTAAAATCTCTCCTGCTTGCTTTGGGCTCAGGTTCCATGGGGAAACCTCACTGGCTGGTGATCCAGTCTGAGCATCAGGCAGGTAGCATTTACCAGTGCTCAATTCTCTCTGGTCTCTGTAGAAATCCAGAAGCTTTTTTTTTTTTTCTTTTACCAAGTGCTGAAGTTAAAGCCCACCACGATATCTTTTCCTTACCTTCTCCCTAAACACCAATTCTTTTCAAGAGCTGAAGAACTGATATGCTTCCTCCTTTCTAATGATAAAAATTTAACTGATATGTTTCCCTTTTGCTCTGTCTTCTAGGAAGCTCAGAGGCAATTTTCAAGGTCGATAATTCTAAATTTAGATTGCTAGAGCAATTACTGATCATAATGCACTAAGTTAGAATTTAGCTCTAAGGATGTTCATTTCAGCATTGGTCATAACAGAAAACAACTGGTAATGAATGAAACGTCTGACATCAGGATTTAGCTAAATAAGCAAAGTATGATATAACCATGAAATTGTAGCATGAAATGTGACAGCAAAGGCCCCAGCACATAGCAGCTCTTCAGTCAACAGTACTCTCGATTCCCTCTCCCCGTGTGTTAACACAATCACCACTGACGTTTGCAATTGACAAAGCTTTCTTTTTGGCCGCACTGAGGAGCTTGCGGGATCTTAGTTCCCTGACCAGGGATCGAACCCGAACCCCCTGCAGTGGAAGCGTGGAACTCTAACCACTGGACCACCAGGGAATTCCCAACAAAGCATTTTTATATCTTAGCCTAATTTTTTTTTTTTTTTTTAACATCTTTATTGGGGTATAATTGCTTTACAATGGTGTGTTAGTTTCTGCTTTATAACAAAGTGAATCAGTCATACATAAACATATGTTCCCATATGTCTTCCCTGTTGCGTCTCCCTCCCTCCCACCCTCCCCATATCTTAGCCTAATTTTATCTTCCTATCCACGAATGATTGTGTTTTAAAGATAATGGAGGTAAGAATAGAGAGGTTTAGTAACTTGTACCAGGTCACACAGCAGTAAGGTGGAGGAACCTGAGTTAGAAGCCAAGGCCACTGACTCCAGCCTCAGTCATCCTTCCTTCCATGCCGCAGTACCAAACTCTTCCTGCTCCAATCAGCCCCCCTCCCCCCACTCCACTTCTACTGACAAGCCAACTGCCTCTAATGATGGCTACGTGCATTGTTAGTCTGAGAATAGAAATGTCAGTACACATGCATTCATTTGCTGGCTGATGGACTCTTGCCTAGCTTGAAAGAGAGCTAGACATTTGGATGCAAGAAGGGAAACATCTGGAGGAAAGCAATAACCATCTGGATGTTTGAACGTGTACCACACCAGGATGTAAGAATTGTAAGCATCCAGATATCTGGACACTGAACTCTAGGAGGGAAGACCAGCAAACAATTAGCAAACATATTGAACGTTGGGAGGAACGTCCTCCAAACACCTGACCACTTCTGGACACCAGGATGCTGCCTTGGTTGCCAGACTGGAGGTTTCCATCCGCCCTCTAAGAGTTTGGGCATCAAATAACAGTCTTCCCAGAACAGCATCCCTTTGCATCCTCATGGAGTGGGTGTAGAGTTTCCCATCAGGGTGAGAAATGCAAAGAAGGTCGCAGGTAGTCCTGGGCCCCTGCGGCTGTCCTCGCCTGGCACTGACCTGGCATGTGGACCATGCGACAGTTGCAGTTCTCCACGATGTAGCGGGTCTCACAGTCAATCCGACAGGCAGTGATGCTGTAAACAGGAAAGAAGTCGAGTCCCATCTCCGAGGACCGGCACTCGCCCCACGGCGGGGGCAGGTATGTGAGCTGCAAGACAGGAAGGAGGGGGCAGCAGTCAGCCCCAGAGTTTCAGCCTCGACAGGCCCAGTGGCTCATTCATTCACTCATGCAGTTAACAGACCACTACTGAGCATCTACTGCATGACAACCTCAATTCCATTGACCTCCCAAGCCTTCTACTTTTGGCTCCAATACCAGTTTTCCTATCTTATTTTTTTTATAACCTTCTTATAAATGCTGATCTTCTCAAAGTCTCTTACACGGGCCACATCTTCCCACTTCCACAATTTGTCATCTCCCATCTCTCAGCAGCAGAGAAGTGAGATAAAAATTTGGGGGCTCTGCCTCTGGGGGCCCCTCCTTTCTAGGATTTTTCTTCCCATTTTTTCTAGCTTTTCTGGCAACCCTGAACTCTAGCTTGAGACTTTTTAACTCAACGACTGCTGCTTTCTTCTTGAGCTCTAGCTACAACATTCCCTTAGAACTCGACGTGCCCTCAAAGGAGAGATCAGGTAAATAAATGTGTATTTCATCCAGTGTGACTCCCTTCCTTCAAGGGCTGTGTACCCTCCAGTTTCTGCCTGTTTTTAGTCTCTCTCCAATGCCATCAAATAGTACTTTTGAAATATTTTGTCCAGAGTTTATAATTGTTATTTCCAGAAGGGTTAGTCTGATATAAGCCGCTCCACCATTACTGAGAACCAAAAGTCTCTCTCTCTATTTTATTTAAGACTCATTCCTTTGAGGGAGCTGTTCCTATTCTCATTTTATTCATGACGAAACTGAGTATCTGAAAGGTTAGTAGTCTGTTCAAGATCAAACACAGAGCCAGTGGCGGAGTCAGCACATGGACCTAGGAATTTCTGACTCCAATCTTGCCCTTGTATACTACATTGTCTCTATAGGAAATGGATGAAAGGAGGGAGAAACACTCCAGAGAGGACCTTTCAGAGCTTTTCTCTTTTGTGTTTTTTTCTAACAGCTCCTTTCTTCTTCCTTTCCCATGAAGGCTTGCGTTACTCTCGCTTCTTTCTTTGGAGTTCATGAGCTGACCAGGCTTTCGCACAGATTTCCTCTATGACTTTGGATAAGTCGCCACTCTCCTCTGGACCTTAGTTTCCCCATCCGTAAAGAGGGAGTATGTGGGGTAGGTTTGACAGTCTATGATTAGAATGGATTCAGTTCCCTACATTGCTCAATATTGGATCGATCAGCACACAAACTGGATTTGGGAAGAATTCATAGCGACTTTTGGCAAGACAGGGGGTCTAAAATGATGTAAAATCATTTTGGGAGACTCTCGTTTCTTTTTCTTCTTCTAAAACAATTTCCCACAGTGGGTGGACCAAGAATGCAGCTGGTGAAACTCTGGGGATGTGCTACTGTTTGTTCAGGGTCAATCACTTCCCTTTTTTTATACAGAGGTCATGATCCAGATACCATGGCTACCCTGCTGTGGCTGGTTTATCATTCGTTCCATCAGATTTTCTGAAGCCTCACACACCACAGCAGCTGGAAAATCGCAGCATGTACAGCATCAACTCTTGCTTACCAACGAGTGTCTGAAAGCGTGTTGGAGTATTTGTTTATCCTGGGTAAGCGAAGCCTCAGGGGGACCCTGAAGCACTGTCTTCAAATATCTGAAGGGCTGTCTCAGGGAAGAAGAATTAGATTTGTTTCCCGGCATCCCAAGGGAAAGATAGACACAAGAACAGTTGTCCTAAGGGAAGTGGGGTACATGATCACATTTATTGACGTTGCAGGCACTGTGGTAGGCATAGCACATGCATTCTCTTATTTAATCCTAAAGAAGGATAAATTCTGTCTCAACTTTCTAACCTGCTACTATGATTCAATGACAAAATCCCTATCTTGAGGGTGAGGTCCCCATCATGAGGGGTGTTCAAGCAGAAACCATACAACCACCTGGCTGGGATGGGAAGAGAGAGATTCAAGTACTGCATGTGCAGTTGGAGATTCTAAAACCTCTTAAGCCCTTATATCCAATCCTAGACCCTACATCTGTAATTTTAATTTGAGAACTAGAGACAGTGGTACAAGTCCGACAGAACCTTGAACCTCACTCTTTCATGGGCTAGTTGTGTGACTTAGTAAGTGACAAAGCCCCCATTCCCCAGCCCCGGCTTTTAGCCTCCTCATTGGATTAAATAAGTGCCCAGCAGCCAGTAGGTACCCACCAAGACTTAGTTCCTATCTCTTTCCCCTAACAAATGTCTTCATGTTTTTCTACCCTTTCATTCATTCAACAAATAGTCCAGCTCCACCTCTGCTCTCCCTACAATCTGGTTTTACAGACTAGCGAAACGCCATCCTTTTTGGCTCAAGTTATTTTGCGCTGGGTTTACTATAAGAACTCCTGCCAATGCAGATGTCCAAGTCAAGAGGACACCAGGCCGCTGATCTAGGGCTCTGGAGCTGGGAGAGAGATCTGGGCTGGAGATGTAAATGTGTGCGTTTGTGTGTGTGTGGCTTTAGTGGATCTTGAAGCTGTGGGGTGGATGAGCCAGCCCAGGGAGAGAGGAGAGACACCAGGATTGAGCCTTAAAGTGTTCCTGCATTTACTTAACAACTCATCCGTCCTTAGCCTTTTATTTTTCTCACTGTGCCATGGAACTGGTGGCCTTGCACAATTACTCACATTCATGAGCTGAGCAAAGAACTCAGAACTTTTGTGATGGCATACCCTGGTGCTTGCCTGTCATCGCTCCACTGTCTCGAGGCTTCTCTCCACAGTACTTTTCGTTTTCTAGAGAGAAGTTTGTGTTTGCACCCTCCCTGCCTCGGGACGTCCTATGCTGTTCCTCAGCCACTGGCTTTCCCAGCCTCTCCCAGCCCATAGATCCCGAGGTGTGCCAGCAGGTGGCGCTGCAGTTAGCCTAGCTGCTCAAGGAGGGTCTCTGTAGTCAGAGATGCTGGGAGGGAGACTGTCCCATAGGACCTTGCCCAGCTCCCTTGGCCTTTTCCTTGTGTCTGCAGCCCACAGAAGCCTTGGCTGGGGTGCTCCTAAGGGAGAGATGCTGTGACGATGATGAGACCGCATAGGAATATGTTCATTCTGCTCCTGGAAAGGGTAGAAAAGACCGGAGGAGAGATAAAGGAGGAGGGAGACAAGGAGAGAGGCCCACTGAGCTCCTCTGGTAGCCACCTGGCTCTTTTGTCATGTCAGCCACTTGGGCTTTTGATTCAGGTGCTGGACACGATACTCACCTGGACCAGATCCCTTTAGGCTCTGGGATTCCCCTGCAGGTTCCTTCCCAGGGCTGGGTCGGGGTCTTCATTCTGGCCTGCTTGGCTTCCTTCTCCTCCTCACTAGCCCACCTGGCCGAGGTTCTCTGTCTGCCGGGAGCACCCATGTTAGGAGCACGTGTTCTGTGGTCAGACCCAGCTGGGTTGGAATCCTGGCTCTGCCACTTGCTTAGTGGGGGACCTCCTCTTTCTGCATGAGAAGCACCCTGAGATATTAACTACTTCAGAGGATACTGTGAGTTTTGAACACAAGGTACGTGTAACGCAGCTGTGGCCCTTGGCTGATGTCTTCCGGTCTCTGTGTCCTATGTATGGATAGGATGTGAAACTCAGCCCCTTGTTCATCTCCACAGAAAGCCCACTCACCCAGGGCATTAGAATATAAGCAAGATGTCAGAGTTGGAGGAGGGTTTACATCAGAGCAAATCTCCTTCACCTTGCCTAAGCCCAGCATCTCTCCATCTTTCTCCTTTCCTTCCTTCTCTCTCGCCTCCTTTCTCTCTCCTTATGTGCTTTGCCACCCTTTCCAGGAGCAGAATCCACTCATTCTTAAGTAGTTGCCTCATCCTCTGGCATCTTGGTAACACGGCAACCACCTTTCCCGTGGAGCCTCAAGGAAAGGCACTTCCTTTCCTAGGAGGAATTCTAAAGCCAAATGTTACCATGTTTTTTCTTTCTTTCTTTTTCTGCCTCGTTCTGTAACAAGACGAAACATCTCCAAGAGTGGCTGGTGAATAATAGATGTTGAATGAACCAGAGACGTTCTTGGCCTCTTTTCTCCCCACTAGGGCGCTGTCTCACCGTGTACAGTGACCAGGCAACAGAGCTGGTCGTGCTTTGCATCCATAACACAGATACTCACTCGGATGACCGGAAACACAGAAGCGCGCCCCGATGACCCGTGGTGCACACTTATTTTCTGTTACTCCCGGAGTCTTCCCTCTGGGATATCTATCTGTGCGTGACTGACCACTTCTTCGTGATTGTGCCAGAAATGAAACAGAGTGGGTAGCATTGTGAGAGGAGCATTGCTGGGGCTTCCAGGGAGAAGTGCTGAGTGTGAACACCCAGTGAGGTTCCAGTGACTTATGTGGTTCCTTGGGCAGGAACTGTAACCTCTGAGCCTTGCTTAGCTGCTCCATAAAGCAAGGGGTCTGGACCAGAGAGCTGCTAAATGCCTCCAGAATCTTCAAAGTTTTGAGTCTATGTGTCTCACTTAATACAAAACGGGATAAGGGGTGGGCAGAGGGGTGGGCTGCTCTCCGATGATCGATGATCGATCCGGGTCTGAATATTTGGTTCACAACGTGTTTTCTTCCCTACGGGTGTTTGCTGAAACTGATCAAGATAAGGCCAGAGTGGCCCTGGATCAGAGTCAGTGGGAAGCCTTCACTCTGGGAAAAACTGCCTTGAGAGTGAAGGAAAAAAACCCCCTTTGTGAGCTGGTTTCCAGAGAACATAGCAGGGGTGTTCAGCTCACTCAGTGAGGCTCCCATGGGTGAAGAAGTGCTCAACCAGAGGAGCTGGCCTCAGGGTGCAGGAAACAGGAGTCGGGGTACAGTCTGGGCTGTTACCAAAGGCTCAGTGGGGCTTTTGTTAGCCCAGCCAGCCCACTGGTCCAGCCTAATTGAACAAGCTCTTCATTAACTCCTAGGATGTGCCCGGCGCCGGGCTGGGCACTGGGGCTAGAGAGGTGAGTAAAATGGGGGTCCCTGCTGTCCAGGGGCTCCTGTTTGCCACAGACCCCTCCTGCCACCACC